TCATTAGAGAACTAGTTTAGGATGGTCAAATTACTCTTGAATTTGTTCCCACAACTGGTCAATGGGCTGACATCTTCACCAAGTCGTTATGATTTGAACCGTTCCTGCATATCCATCGTGAACTAGGAATGGTTTCCTGGTCTGAGATTAAAAGTTTGCAGTAAATGCACATCTCCCTTGTTCAAGCTAGTAGACTTCCTTATCTAGGTTTCTCTTCCTACTCTTTCACTCTAAGTTCTTCTTCTTGCCTATTTTAAAAAATTCCAGTTCTAATCCTTCCCTCTTTGAGTCCTTCCATATTCCTCATCGTTCGTAATTTCCACGTTACCCTATCCTATATAAAGTCCCCCCCTCCATACCTTCAGCTCACACTCATCTATTCCAATTCCAAACTTAGTCTCTCGAATGATCATGGATCAACCCAATTCTCATGCAACCTTGCCATGGTGCGTGCTGCCATCTTCAACGGGAGGTGCTTCGCCATTGCTGAGGACACTACAAGAAAACAACATTTTAGAGTCGGTTATTTTGCCTGTTTAGTGTCGGTTTTAACAGAAACAAATTAATTTGTGTTGGTTCATTAAAGCGACACGAATTCCGTCGACACTAATTAGTTTTGGGTCGATTTTGGGAAACTGCTGGTATAACCAACACAATCCTGTTTTGAGTCGGTTAATTTGTCTCGATTGAACCAAAGTCAATTATTTTATCAGAAAAAACATTTTGAAATTAAATTTATTATTAACGTTGTTCAATGAGCAACTCTAATTGTCATTTTGGTAATAAAAAAATCAGATCGGCGATCCAGGCTGTCCTTGCCTTTGATCGCCGATGAAGGCAAAGTCTTCCTACCGCAACATAAATCCCGCCTAGCTCTGCCCACTTCCAAAACTTGCAAAAATATTCCTCATCAAAATCAGAACTAGGAGAAGACTAAAAAATGAAGGGTTATAGGTATAATATGCCCCTCTATTATGATGGTTTATCAAACATGCCCCTCTACTACTTTTTTACATCAAACATGCCCCTGTACTTTGACAAAATTATCAAACATGCCCTTCTGCTAAAATTTCCATTGAAAAAAAAATCATCAATCATGGTTGAACCGAGATTTAGATGATCCGACATCGGCGAATGGGAGAGAAAATATCAGTTTTGTCCCAGTTTTATTTCTCTAAGTCTCTTCAAATTGAAATTATTTGAATTATTTACCTATACAAACAAAAAAAAATCCAAAGTGAAATTATTAGGGATATTTTAGACATTTGTGTCGCTCAAACCAAAGTTCGGCGTTGGTTAACGGTTTTTGGATGAAAATTTTAACCAAAATGTATGTTTGATAATTTTTACAAAGTACAATGACATGTTTGATGTAAAAAATAGTAAATGGACATGTTTGATAAAACATCATAGTAGAGGGGGCATATTATACCTATTAGCAGTGCGGCGGCTCATCCATCGCCAGCAACTTCCCCTTCCCCTCTATGAGTGAACGAAACGAAAACCAACTCAAGAAATCCTCACCAAAACATGCAAGAAAATCAATAGATCTACATTAACACTCTCCTAGCAAATCGGAATTAACAATAAATCAGAATTAACAAAAAAAAAAACAAATCTTCTTTCACAGATCCACCGCACCCTATTAGAGTTTCGACCTTCTCCCACTGACTCATCGTCGACACTAGATCTACGCTAACTGGGGGAAACCTTAATGTCTTGGGCATGACTGACTCGATACCATTGAGTTTTGCTCGCAGCCGACTCGAGGGCGACATACGTTGGAGAGATTGATGATTCTGCCATATGAGGGAAACCTTTCCTTCAGCATTCCACCACGCTGAATTCGCCGCCAAGCAGGGGTCCTTGGGGAAGAGAGTTGACCACATCTTCACCGTCGACTATTTACTGCAAACGGCCAACTATTCTCGGCAGATAACGGTTTCGATTGGGAAAGGGGCGGCGACGACGCTTTTGTTTTTGAAAAGAAGAAGAAGAAGAGGGGAAAGGGAGCTTGTGAGTGGTGACAGCCTAACGGGCAAGGAAGAGAGCGAGTTAAGGGATAAGAAGAAGAAGAAAGAATAAACGGAGTGGATTTGAATTTTTATAAGGGGAAAATTTTCAATTTAGGAAGTGGGAAATTTGGGCGGTAATGGTCAAATTTTATAGAGCCCAAATTTTGGCGAAATTCAAAACCTCAAAAATTTGGGTCGGTTAACATAAAGCCGGCACAAAACCATCATAATTGTCTCGGTTACAATGAAAACCGATACAAATCCGCTGAAAATGGTGTCTCTTAAATTTAATTGACACAAAAACATGAAAAATCGTGTGTGTTACTTAACCGACACAAATTACTTACATAAAATAGACTTTTAGTGTTGGTTAAGTGAACCAACACAACACAACCTACACTAAATGCCTGTTTTCTTGTAGTGGGACTACTCCAGATATCTACTCGTCGACTCTGTTCCTCATTGTCTCTTGCCCCATCTTTGTTCAATCGGTATGACATGGATATTCCATCCCTGATCAATGCAATTGGCTGGTCGACTTGATCCTGGATCAACATTTCGGTTTCTATCCAGAACCAGTTCGCATGTTCTATGCGAATATGCGACCATGCTATAACACGAATCCTCCATCCTTCACCACTATTGTCTTCAATTATCTTATCACCATCAATGTGGATCTCCTTTCTCAACTTCTCAGCATTCCCATCAGTGGTATCGTAGTCATGAATGAATCTAACTTTCCAGATGCTGAGTTGAATGAGCTGGCCGTTATCAGGAAGTACACTCGTGATACGGGTTGTCACTATCCTTTTGTCCTATCCTCTGTCAGACTCCCAGATGATCTCAAAGTCCTTCATTACTACATTACTAGGGTATTTCTGTCTTGTTCCCATGGGCTGACAACCATTTATCCTACCTATCAGCGGATCATGGCAAGTGTTAATGAAAACAGAGTCATCAGCTACCCCACCTGATATTTGATCAAATGGTGCGCTATCATGATGAAAATTATGCGGAAGCCCTTCCTTTTGCTCCTCATATCACCTTGTTGCTGCGTGGCATAGGAGTTGATCTTCGATACAAGGTTTCTCATGTGGATCTCATTATTCAGATCCACGCTCAGTTCGTCCTTCTCAAGGTGGACACATCCGTTTGGCGTCGTCGCCCCCGGGTTAATGTCCTAGGGGGAGATAGGGTAGCTGCTGCCTGCTGTTGATGATATTGTTCCCCTACCCGAAGATGGACTCAGCATTGCGGATCTTGTTGAGGATGTCTCCGACAAAGGGACGCAGAAAGCGGTTCTACACCATCTGGAGTTTATTCACCAATCCTTTCAACATGAAAATGAGGCAAGCACCAGTGGTAATATCTCGGAGGATCCTAAAGCTAATGAAGAGGATATCTCTGACTACATGACACCACCACCTTATCCATTCTAAATAAGTATTTAGGAGGAGCTCGGTCTTGAGTCAAGATTAGGCAGTCAGGTCTAGAGAGTCAGTTGTCTGTGTATGTTTCATTGTCTTTCCTCTTCAATAAAGCCTAACCTTAGCTGAGCATGAGTCGTTTCAAGAGTCTGTCCTGGAATTGATGTAGTTTCCCTTCAATTTAGTTTTAATTATGACATGGAATAAATAAAACTTCTTTTGTTTATCCTTGTGTTCTGGCATTTATGGTTCGTGACAATTTGCACATAACTTGTGTGTTAAATGTGTGTAGGAACAACAGACACAGCAGAAGAGGGCCATTGACTGGCTTAGGGGGAGATTGTTGTGCTCAAGCCTCTCAATGTTAAACGTGCAGAACAAAGAACCATCTCATAATAGGAAGGAAAGGGAAAGAGCAAAATAGAATTTTAGATAGATTCCTATTTAAAATCAAGCAGGCAAAGGGGATGATTCCATATCAAGAATTACCAATTCTGGAGACCTCACAGCAAGGAAGGAAAATTGATAGAGGCAATGGCTAGTATTGGGACAAGTATAAATCAAGACAAAACAAGAGAGATGTGATACTTTTCGGAGATCAATCGTGTGAGATAGCAAGGTTATATTGTTGTAAGTTGATTGATAGAGAAGTGAGTGAGCAATCGATGAGATAGCTCTGAGAGTTCTTGTGCAAGTGATCGATGGGTAGTTGATCGGGTCGAAACAGACTGATTGACGGGGAGTTAGTTAGTGATGGTTAGAAGATCAGTCGGAAGGCCGACAGATTCAAGTGTGTTGATTGTAAAATTCCTCAAGAATATCCTTAGTGAATCATCGGGAATCACACAACAGTGATTCACCGATCGTGGACTAGTAAGCGTTGAGATCCTTCTTCTCTTAACGCTGAAACCACGTAAAATCGCCTGTGTATTTCAATTCTGCAAATTTCCAAATTTACGCTGTGTTCTTTGTTTGGTCTAATTCTAAATCTGCCTCCTACCGTCTTTGATCAAAAGTGGTTCTTCAAGTAACCAAACTTTGTGTTTGCAGAATATGGCATAGTTTTGAGTCTTTCATTTAACACAGGATTGGAAGAAGAAAAATCATTGGATTGGGTTCTGGTAAAGTTATATTAGTGGGCTTTTCATTAGGCCCACACTCCTTCGTCTTGAATCAGAAACCATACATCAGATCAAAGCTTCCTCTTTACTTCTCTGTCGGTTTTCCTTATGCTCTAACCTAGAAATCTCGAGTGGAATTGAGAGTGATTTTGCAAGTGATATTGGCAGAGACAAGAGAGACCAGCGCGCCACCGGATTTTACATAGTTATCCAGACTTTTCTATTCCGAAATGCAACACTGGTTTTCTTATAAAAAAGAACAAAATGAATAACTAGATACACCTATCTAGCTACCCAACTTGAAGAGAAAACCAATATTATCATTGAAGTTATAGAGTACATTGCCAAAGACACAAAACAAAAAACAAGAAGAAGAAATTTGCATGTATAACACAACTTGTGTCTTTATTAATTAAGCTAGCTGGCTTTTTATTCAGATTTCTCTCTCTATGAATGCACTAATCGACAATTGAAGAACGGTGGTTTAGGTATATCATCAACGCCATTTGAAGAATCCGTATAGCAAACTCTTGTCCAAAGATCCATTCTCATCCATCTCCCTTGCCTCTGCACAACTTCATCCATATTTCATACCTAGACTGAAATTCTGTAAGAAGAAATATACACAATTACACATACATAGCATAATGATTACCGTTAAACAAATTGTGGTCACGCACAACACTATATACGTGACTTACGTGTTGCAGTCGATGTTGGGATCGAGAGGGACGGGGACATTGACGCGACATAAGCTAGGGAGAGCCTTGACGACCGGAGGATCAACACGATAGGTGATGGCAGCAGGTTTAAAGCACTTGCAGAGTTGTTGACGAATGGCGGCGGTGTTGGCCTCATCGTTCAACAGCTTGACGTTCGAGCAACATTGGGTAGATGGGGAAGGGACTTGCTTAGTGAGGAATGGCAAGCAGGGCAGTAACTGAAGCAATGCACTTGGGCATGTCACGGCCGCAGCTTGCCCATTCACTACTGTACTTGTCGACGAACCCATAATGATCAATGCCAACATGAAAGCTACTGTAGCTATGCCATTTGGGCTACTGTTTGTTGATGTCTTCATTGTGATCTCACAAACTGATCGACACAAGTTCTTCTGTTTGAAAGTTGGAATAGTTGCTGGTGGGTGATTTGCATATATGAGATCGATGGAGCAAAGATGGCTATGTCTGTTTAGTTTTTATAGGGATCAAAATGTGTTGGATAATTATGGATTTATTTCACATATTATGCGTATCATTTAGAGAAGGGAAACAATCTTGTTATGAATGGGATTTCATAGCATATTTAGCTATTTATCTGATCTCGTATTGGATCCTCATTATAAATTGAAAGATAATATGTTAAATTTAACGTTATAAGTAGAAAGATTATAATAATGTTTATTAAGAGTATGCAAGATTTAATGTATTCTTCTTTTGTGTGCGTCTATGATATACCCTTGTTACTATAATTGTTTTTTTATTTTTTGTCACAGTTAAAATGAATCAACATATGATCTAAAATATAATTTTCAAGCATGTGATGTTCAAAGTAAATTGCCAATAAAATTACCCGACAAAAAATTGATCACAAATTTTAATGTATAATATGTTTGCCACTACTTTCTTTTGTAAGGATCAAATCAGTTTTACTAATTAAAAAACCTAGGACTTAAAAAAAATTAAGATACTATTACAATCCAACTTATGATTCACATTCATTCCTTTAACCTATACAGATAAAGACTGACAATCTGTATAGAAACCATCTTCCTTTTGCATATTTTAATTTTTCCACTTGCATAACTTCATTCAATACTTGACATCTTAATGTTGTATATTGAGTTCTACCACTTCTCAATCTGTGATCTTCGACTCTCTAGCTCTGTGCTAAACTTTTCTTTCTTTTACTTCAAATGTGTTGTTGGAACTTGATTCTCGAATTCTAGTTTTAAATAAGACTTTAGGATAGCCAAGCATGTCTGGATATAGACTTCCTTTCCAGAATTCTTTTCAAAGCAAGTCATGAAGAGATAACATTCTCGGCCCTATCCCTAGATGTCTACTTTATTTGCAGTAATAAACCAGTTTAAAATGAATCGTCCTATTTTGTAGCACACCACTTGGGATTTTTTTGCAGAAATAGCATTGTTTTAATTTTTTTTTTCAAAAATAGCACCCAACCCTTAAAAATTCCAAAATTTACACCCTTTCACGAAAACCGCATGGGTAGGGAGCGGTTTTGCTGACCGCGTGAGGTCGGGACGGTTTGGTTGCAAACCGTACCCCCACCCGGCGATTTGTATTATATAATTTTTTTCCGAATAAATATCATAAGTGGTCTTGGCACAACTAGTTTAGTTTTTTATTGTGTGCAAGAAGTCTCAGGTAGGGGTGGCTATACGGTCCGGTCCGGTTAAATTGGCCCAAATTGATCCGGTCCAGTCCGGTCTTTTTGAAGATATAAGGACCGAAGATTGGATTGAATACAGTCCGGTCTTGATCCGGTCCGGTTTTGATCCGGTCCGGTCCCAATTCGGTCTTGATTTTACATTGAGATTGTGGGATTTGAGTGGCCTAAGGCCTTAAAGGGTGAGGAGTTGGTTAAGTTTTGTACTAAGTGCAAAGGTTTGTGACCGTTTATGCAAATTACCCTTAAGTTTTGGGTGTTGAGCTCTCTTATCCGGTCTTTATCCGGTTTTTTACCTCAAATCTAAGCCCAAAGATTGGATTGGATTGTTTACTATCCGGTCCGGTCTCGGTCCGGGTTATACGGTCCGGTTTCCGGTTTTTAATCCGGTCCCGGTCCAAATAGCCACCCCTAGTCTCAGGTTCGAATCCCCATCATCCCATATTAAGTCTTTTTATTTAGTAGAGATTAAAAAAAGCAGCATGTTGTGAAGATGGTGGTTCAAACCCAGATATAATAAATAGTTAACTAAATTTAGCACAGTATCTACACCACCAAACTACGACTCTTCTTATTGAAACAATAATGTATTGACAAAATTTTATTACTTGAACGCTAAAAATCCTCAATAACTATTAACAACCATAACATTGTGATCCAAAATCCGAACGTCGTGAACTTTTTTTTTCATTTTGTATAACTTTTTAATGACTACAATTTTACTAAGAATGAAGTTTCAAAACAGGAATTATTTTTGGATATACAGGATTTTGGGAATAACTTACCTTCCCTTTTCACAAATCCACGTACATTTCGAAATTATGTCTATGATAAAAGTTGTAGTCCTTAAAAAGTTATGTGAAATGAAAAAAAATTCATGACGTTCGGATTTTGGAGCACTAAATTATGGCTATCCAAAATTTGACGAAATCAGAAAAAAGCTCGTTCGTGGCAAACGACATTTTTTTGGGACGAAGGCGGGACCGAACCGCCTACGATCGGATAACCGAACAAAAAGATACGTTTGTTTGAATTTTCCACATAGGTTAGGATTTTTCAAAAAAAAAAGTATATGGACCAAACCACTAGGTGAGGCAGCAGTTTTGCGCCAAACTGGTCCGACCACAGGCGATCATGAAAACTGCCACTACCCGCGCGGTTTTCATTGAAAACTGCGCCCCTACCCTGCGGTTTTTATGTAAACCGCTAGGTCGGGTGGCGGTTTTTGGGAAATGGTGTTATTTTTGGAATTTTTTTTAAACAGTGCTATTTGTGGTATAATCCCCCCACTTGAGGTGTTGACTTTTTTGTCTGCAAATATTCGTGCATTTCTTTCCTTCAATATTCGTCATTATTTTATTGACCGAAAATGAATATCCTCCAATTAAAGTACTTAAAACTAATATTTTTGCAAGTAGATATCTCATATATTGAGAAACAGAAAGATACAAAAAAGTCAAACTGCTGATAGTAGCCAAGCACGAGCATTGAACTCTACCAAACTAGAGAACAAAGAAAGGAATTCTTGACCACCAAATGAGTCATCCTATTACAACAATGATCAATAAATCAACAAAGTAGTTGGAGAGTAACTGTCACTCCACATCAAGAAAGCAATTTTTCAAGTGAGTTACTCATTTTCTCTTTTTTCTTTGCAAATTAGTCGTAGTTCTTGAACTCTCACAAGATCCAATAGAAGTAGAATTAACTTGATGTAGTCTTTCTCTCGTAAGTTGTAAAAGACATTGAACATCCTTGTTCAAAGAGGTATGAACTATGTTTATTTAATCATTATTAAGAAAATCAAGGAACAATCATTGTTTATTTGTCTTCATCGGGTTGTTTCATACTTCATAGTGTGATTGTTTTAATTCCCCCTATCTCTTCTCCATTTCTATGGGGTTCTGTCCAGGATGCTTAATAGAGCTTTGCCCATCAAGACCTCCTCTTCTCATCCTTAGACTCATATGATAGAACTATCCCACTTATGTTGTGTTGACGATTTACTGATTTTTACCAAAGGCACTAGGGAAGCAGTGGTAGTGACTAAGAGAATCCTATATATATTCTATGAGATTTCTTATTTGAATTGCAATCCCTCAAAAAGTGAGATCTTCTGTGTGGGTATTGATACTGGCACACAGAGGCTTCTCACCAAAGATACTAATTTTCAGATTGGTCACCTCCTTGTGAGATATATGTTGATCCCATTTGTAGCAGGTAAACTAAATACTATGGATTGTAAGACTTTAGTATATATGATAATAACAAGGATCAGAGGTTGGGGTGTTAAGATATTAACCTATGCTGGGAAGTTACAATTAGTCAACTCAGTCATAGCAAGCATAACCCATTATTCGATGAATATTATACAACTTCCAGTGCAAGTAATAAAACAGATTGAAAAGGCTTGCTCGGATTTCTTGTGGGATTCTAAGGATGAAGGGAAGAGAGCCAAAGTGAAGTGGGAAAAGGTTGCTCTGCCACAAGCTGAGGGAAGTTTAGGATTCAAAGATATGAGGATCTGGAATACAACCTGTTTAATTAGACATTTGTGGGGAATTTTCTCGAATTATTCATCAATGTGGGAAAACTGGGTGACGCACTATTAACTTACCTATACAAACATCTGGTGCATTCCATCCACCATTAACTATTCCGGGGGTTGGCGTAAAGTGTTAATAGCCAGAGGCACAGCAGAAGCTCATCTCCAAGTTATAAGTGCAGCTATTCTAGGAAGATACTTCAGATAGTTCCATGTTTTCATTCCTTGATTGGAGGGACTTGAACGAATCACCTATGAAAGCTACAAATCCGTACACTGCGGCAAATGCTAGTGCTAGCTCTGGAAGATTGATCTGGACGATGGTGGTTAGTGAATTGTGGAGAGAAATGTGTCGACGCCTTTATGCTGGACAGCTTCTCACATAGGAGCAGATTGTCAAGAGGGTACAGGATTTCCTAGGGATACTTTAATGTAGTTTCCCATCTATTGCACATGTTATTTCGGACCATTTATTAGCTATTATTGTTCTTTAGCCTTGTTATTGGATTGTAGCTTGGTGTGTGTTGGGTTTTTGCTCTAGTTTGCTGTTGTAAGATGATTTTGAGGGTGTATACTTGTTTCAGTTTGAGTTGCGCATTGTCTCTCTCCCTCTTACTTGAGGAATAAAATGGCTTATTCATAAAAAAATTCCTTGATGTGCTATCTATTGGAGATCAACAAACTCTGCCTACCACTCTCCCTCAAACCTCTGGTCTTTCGTAGCTGGTTAGCCGCTCCAACCACTACTCCACCTCATCCTTGATTTTCTCATTCTTTGTTTATTCTGCTAAGAGTTTCCCATTGTAATATGTATAAAAGGGAACCTACTATTCTAATGCAAATCACGATTCCTTTCAAGCCTTTGTATTATCCTTTATGGTATCAGAAGCCTTCGCAAACCCTCTAATGAGGTCTTGAGCTTCTATCTTAATTTTCTCCCCTTCTCTTCGTTTACCTTCAATCATCATCATACCTTCCAGCACCACCTCTGATCAGCCTTTTGGAGACTCCAATAACAATTATCTTCCTCCTCTTATCTCTTTCAATGTTGGGTCCCAGCTCACGGTTCGTCTCCTCAGCACGAACTACTCCTCATGGAAATTTCAATTCACCTCCCTCCTCTTCGGCTATGATTTGATGCCACACATTGACGGCCCTGGCATTCCACCTTCTGATTGAACGTCTG